ACCTGAGAGTTTCCAGGTTGCAGTTTGGACTCTTCAGTCCAGCAGAGAGAAGCTTCACTCCTGAATCCTGCAGGTTGTTGTTACTCAGGTCCAGTTCTCTGAGACTGGAGGACTGGGAGCTGAGAACTGAGGACAGAGCTTCACAGCTTCTCTCTGAGAGATTACAGCCACTCAGTCTGAGGAGACAGGGAGGAAAATCTGGTATTAAACTCCATCATGTTCATAACAGCTGCTATGTCACGTTTACGACAATGTCATGTCAGTCTGATGCACACAAATAAAGTGTTACTGGGAAATTTAACTCAGTATTTAAAGAGTTGTGAAAACACCAACCTGACACTAAAGGTCACTAAACACATGGAAACACTTTTAGAAATCACCACAATTAAAACTGCATTCATAAATATCACAACATTGAACCAAATATGTTTTAAACATGTTATTGGACCAGGATGCACCACCAATATGTTGAAAAGCAGGTAAAGGACAGAAATCTGGTTTCACCAGGATTGGTCACATTTTACCTGAGAGTCTCCAGGTTGCAGTTTGGTCTCTTCAGTCCAGCAGAGAGAAGCTTCGCTCCTGATTCCTGCAGGTTGTTGTTACTCAGGTCCAGTTCTCTGAGACTGGAGGACTGGGAGCTGAGAACTGAGGACAGAGCTTCACAGCTTCTCTCTGAGAGGTTACAGCCACTCAGTCTGAGAGACAGGAAGGACAATATTAAATTATTCTTTCAAAATGTATTTTTCACAGATTGAAGTAAATTTTCATAATTTTTTTACATCGTTATGATACAAGTATAGAGAACTGGTTTATTTTTTAGTTGGGCCTCCAGCCTTAAAAGACTGAGATACAGCAGTCAGTAAGGAGGCTGGCAAGAGAAACATTAATGTCATCATTTTCCATAATGAACAACATTAATCTAGTTCAGCTTCAACGGAAAAAATAATTTCTGCTCTTTGAACATGTAGCATTAAGAATAGTCACCTATGAGTGCCTGTCTCTATTTTACTCATCACCTGCTAGTGGCTAACATTAAAGAGACAATGAACCAGTAAACAAACTAATGAAGCATGACCCAATATTTACCTAATCACTATCAGATTTCTTTTAAAAATTACTTTCGTAACAATGTGTGTCCTTACAGAGCTTTGTTGGAGGCTTTAACCACTGGCAGCAGCCTCAGAAGAGCCTCCTCTGAAGCAGAGTATTTCTTCAGGTCAAACACATCCAGATCTTTTCCTGATGACACTAAGATGAAACCCAGAGCTGACCACTGAGCAGGAGACAGTTTATCTGTGGA